AGTAGTGACACCAACCACCCAAAAAAAAAGAAAAAGAACACACATTATTGGGTACAAATTACAATTAATTTTCAGGCAATTGAATAACATTGAGATCAGACCCAAAAGGCTTCTGGTTGTAGCAGTCAAGGTTGTTGCCATAGCCAACTCCAAGCAAGTCACAGTACCTCTTATAAAACCCAATGCGATCCTCCACCTTAGCGTTCCAGCACTTACCACATTCAAGTCCACCGTTAATGATATTTGTAGTGACCCCGTAACCGGGAACCAGACCTGCTGACTTGTCGGCTCCAGACGGGTTCCATCTCCTGGTGATCACATCATGGCATGAGGGCTTGGGTGACTGAGGGGTCATCCAGAACCAGAGTGCTGTCTTGAATGAAATAACAGGGTCTGTAGCAACTAGGTCTGGGTTGTTCAACAGGTCCGCCCCTATTGCTTTTCCACACTGTCCATAGTTGTAGTTCCTATAGTCCAAATACACATAATTATTATAGCTACATAATTCATGATAATATATTTCCGTATCGTCGCTCTTATACAATCATGTACCTATTTTAGAGAGACGAACACATAACTATATACAACCGGTTACACTTAAGATTTTTTCTGATAACTTAAAAGATAATACTTACCAAGAAAGTTGAATTGGACCACGGCCATAATACTGCTTACCAGCAGCACATGGATAATTAGGATCCCATGCACAATAAGATCCAGGGTTTTGTTCCTTGAGATAGCAATACCCCCAAGAGTATGGTCCATCAGGTGCACTTGCCCAACCCCCTGGACATTTACATATAATCATCATGCAAAGTAAGTAATTTAGTTGAGACAAATAAAATAAAGGGAGTTTCACTAAAACACCCAAAATGGAGGTTGAAATTATAAAAAAACCCAACACCCAAAACACTTTATAAACATACCCAAAATCCATTATTACACACATTCAAAACTCATTTATAAACACACCCAAAAAGTTGACTTTGGGGTTGATTTTGGGTGTGTTTCTATGTTTAAATAGTGCTTGGGTTTTTTTATAAATACATGTCTAGAATTGGGTTTATTTATAAATTTGTATAAAATAAATGAATCGGATTGCAAAAAAAATAAAGGGTAATTAATTAGAGTGTTTACATAGTTTGTATGAAATGAAAATGGATGAAAATGGTAGCAATTTGTGCCAAAAAAATTGACACTGGTCACTAATTTGGGATAAATCAATCCCTTGTGTATATTTCTGATATGGTAAATTGATAATAATTTTTTAAAACTAATTGAATTACTGACCTGTTGTTTCATGTGAAGTTTGGGCTAAGAAAGCAGCAATTTCCCTTTTTTGGGTGGCAGCATCTCCAGTTTTAGCGAAGTTAGGGAAGGACTTGGCAGCTGCAATGAAAGCATCATAGGTATAAAACCCTTTAGCTAGGCAACCACCATCATTCCTATGCTTAAGCATCTGATTAAAGGTGTTACGTGACACAAGGCTACCAGTGTCACCGCCACCGCCACCACCGCCGCCGCCACATTGGCTTTGGCAACCAGTGCTGCAGTAATCAGGTGCAGTGCCACACCACCCATACTTGCTGCAGCATTGCCCTCCTGGACACAGAGCACCCCCTGCTTGCCTCCCACACTGCTCTGCTGTGCCTCCTTGGGTGGAGGACAACAACAAAAGAGAAACAAATGCCAAAAGAAAGCACCACATTGTTGTGTCAATTTGTTTGTGATTTATGGCTGAGTTTTTAAAAGGATCAGTGGATGCATGGGTGTATATATAGGGTGGAGGAACAGAGGAATTAAAAGACTTTTTTTCTTTTCTTTTTGTGTAGTTTCATGAATTATCTAAGTCTTTTCGTGCATTTAGTCAACATTGGGGGGAAGAACAGATTTTCTGATCTTATCTAGCAAATCATAGCTCAAGTCTAAAGAAAGTTAAAAAAAAGAAAAAAAAAGAAATTGTGGGGTATGAGGGCGGCTGTTGGTGCATTTTCTTTAACTTCATGTTCATGAATGCTAGTGAAGGATATCTCCAGTACACAGAATTTCAGGAATTGAATAGTATAAAAATATATGTATAGCCAAAAACTTATATTATGCGTGAAATGGTGGGAGCGGGATGGATGGCAGGGTATGGGTCAGCAAAACATGTGAAAACCATCCTGAATTAGTTATGCTTGTGACAGAAATGCTTCCACAAATAACAAAAAAATGCTTCATGTTTTCTAAAATGTTTGGTTGAAACTGGAAATAGACAAAATCTCCTTTTGGAGAACATTGATTGAAACAAACATTTTAATTTTACTTGAAACTTGGTCAAATAAACCTTTTATTTAGGGTATTTGACATCAACGGACAAATAAAATGCGATTAGGTC